GGGGGGGGGGGGCGGGAGCGGGCAATGCACTTTGGGAAGGGGTGAGGAGGAGGAGGAGGAGGAGCAGGGATGGTAAAGGGAGGGCCAAGGTCGTCAATAGGAGCGTAATGTTGGAATGGCTGTGGTCAATGGCAAGAAGAGAGGATCGTGCCGCGTCGTCAGGGCGTGAAGAAGACCAAGGTGTTGGAGAGTGAAGGCGTGCTCGAGCGGCGAATGATCAAGGCCGTCGCCGGGTGATGAGAGTGATTGCGACTGCTTACTCGAATGCAGCTCGTGTTTGCCAGACTGATCCGATTGCGAGACTAAAGCCGCCCCAGCTTGCTCCACTAGCGCCTCCGTCGTTCTTTCTGGGCCACGTTCCTCCCTGACACATACGTTCCGCCCGCACTACTCCAGCTATCCTCGCTCAGATGCCCCTCTACGCTCCCAAGAGGTTGGCCAGCCTAGCCACCCTCCCTTCTACCCTTTAGAGGATGGCGCACTTGGTCTTCTTTGAGCCGCTTCTCTTGCTGAGGAGCGCAGCGCGAGTAGCATGCTCAAAGACTTCCCGCACACCCTCTCCCGACTTGGCACTGCACTCGAGGTAACGGGCAGCTCCAATTTTTTGTGCCACGGCCATACCCTGTGCAAAAGAGATCACAAGATTCGTCAGTCAAAAGACCAAAAGAGCTGACTTGTGCGCAGCGCACTACGCACCTCCTCTGGGCTGACTGGTCGCTGACTAGTCTTGCGGAGCTCCTCGATGATCTTGGGATCACGACGCAGATCCTTTTTGCATCCGACGAGGATGATGGGCAGGTTTTGGCAAAAGTGCAAGACTTCAGAGATCCACTGCGGAATGATCAGTGATAGTTTGTGGCGTCAGCCATAGTGCTCTCAAGACGGACAGTGTGACTGCAAACTCGCCTTCTCTTGCACATTGTCCAAAGAGTCTGGACTGTCAACGGCAAAGCAGATCAGAATGACGTGCGAGTCGGGGTAGCTGAGAGGACGCAGACGATCGTAGTCTTCTTGACCAGCGGTATCCCAAAGGGCCAGCTCGACGTGCTTGCCATCCACTTCGACATCCGCGACGTAGTTCTCAAAGACAGTGGGGACGTAGACCTGAAAGAAGCGAAGGAAGGTGTAAGCGCTGGAGGGCCGCGAGCTGTCGAAGCGCATCCGAAAGGGAAGCCTGCACCAGAGTGATGGCAGCAGTCGCGCAAGCAAGAGAGCATCCTTCCAGTTGGAGCTGATCGTGATAGACAGCCCGAGGAAGGTCAAGGTGCCACGGATGGCCGAGCGCTCCGCCTTCCGCGCGGGCGCCTTTAATGTAAACTCCTTCGGAGTCGTCCACCAGCGCGCGACTGATGCCATCGCCCCTACGGCTCCCTACGCGATCGCCCAAACACTCTGCTCACCTCTGGGAAGGTTCCACGGCTGAAGACGATCAACAAGCAGGTCTGGTCGGCATAGTTGAGTAGGAGTTCGAGAGTCAGCGAGATGCAATCAGGGATGACTGTGTGCTGATCTGCACCTCTGCCAGCTTGATGACTCAAAGTGGAGCAACGCGCCACAACTCACCTTACCGCAGGCACCATCGCCTACAATGACGAGCTTGCGTCGGAGGGAGTCGCCAGAGCTCTGTGTGCGTGGACGTGCAAAGAAGAATGCGCGATCAGTGTGCGCAGTCAAGGCCAAGCTTAGAGTCTCGCATACACACCATCTTGAGTGTCTAGATGGAGTGTTGTGCTTTCGCTGGTGTTGCTGTACGCAAAGTCCTGCTGTGGGCAAGGAAAATTGAAATTTCCGCGAAGAAAAGGCCTTCACGAGTCAGCGCCAGTGATTTAGCTTGTGAGGCGGCTGCAGTCACCCAGCAAGAGGGGGCAAGACTTGTGGTGAGACCAGATACTCCAGATCTGTGAGGCGAGTGGATGTGCTGACCGGTACATAGACAGAGCCCTCGCGGCAGCCTCTGGCTGCATCTTATCCCACCGAACCGGTCTATCTGCCCTTCAAATTATCACTCAACGTTGCCTTCCCTGTCTACCTTTCGTTGGCAGCGCATTGGTAGAGCACCCAGATACCATTGCGACTCACTCGGAGTAGCAGTGTCAATTTCGCTGATGATGCGTGCTGTCAGGAGGACGTAATGTACGCTCGTCGTAGACAATCTCGGGATGGATGCTAGGGTGCAAGGTGAGAGATGTGGAAGTAGGTGTGGATGTGAGCGTGAATGGCGTTTGAAACGACGACGAGGACGACAGACCGCTCGATATCCTGCTCCTGCTCGCTTTGGGTTTGCAATTCGTCATGCTTGCTTGAGCGTGGATCAAGCAACTTCAAACGTGATTTTGAAACCCAACGCCCCAGAGCTGCGCGCGCGCGTGAGCCGTCGCAGCGTGGCAGTGATGAGTGGCGGTGTGGGCGCGGGCGTGCGGGCGGAGGGTGCGGCGGCTGCTGGTAATTGGCTCAAGGCCAGCCAAAGTCACGAGCTGTGATGCTCAGGCAGTTATCAGCAGCTGTAGCACAAATGCAGTTGCCCCTGCCTGCCTGCCTGCCGGCCGGCCTGCTGATGGCTGCATTCCCTTTGCACGGCACGCGCGAGCAGCGCAAATAAATCGCATGCCAATCGAAAATGCAAATCAAAATCTCGAAAGGGGTGACATCTACCGCACTTTGAATTCAAAATTTGGTTTGAGTCAATTAAGTCGCGAGTCACAAGCGTGTACAGCGAGCGTCCTCTCCTCGTGCGTCTAACTGCCGCTGCTGCTGCTGGTGATGCGCTTAGACTTGAGAAGCGCATCAGCATGCATGCATGCATGAGCTGCCTTGTGAAGCTGAGTCTTGAATCATGATCAGTATACATAGACGCGGGCATCAGGCCTGAGAAGCACAGCCTATCAGCACGGTCGTCGGAGCACCCAACGTGCTTGCAGCACACGCGCGCGCAGCACCGTACACAGCGCGACGGCGCTGATGCTGGCTCAGGAGCAGTCTGAGTCGCAATCTTTAAATTTGAAGGAGATGGCAATGATAATAGCAATAACACGACAAGCGTCACAGTCCAGAATTGACTATTCACATTTAACATCGCGTTCACATGACTTGCTTAGGGCGCTCGCAAGTCAATCGAAATGAGTGCGCGGACGGTGCAGCTGCAGCTGCCTGATGCATGTGCATGCGGCTGATGTGAGCCACATAGACGATCTTGGATCCGGCAGGTCCTCACGGTGCGCACCCTATCCACTCAAGCCGTTTGGGATTTGAAGTGCTGCTTCGAGAGCGAACAAGGTCACTTCGAACATTTGGTCATTTGATTCGAAAGGAGTTGCAGATCATCATTCAAAATGCCACGAATAGTGATGATGGATACCTCATGTTGCCTCGCGATACAGCAGCTACGTCACACATCAGCAGCCATGCGAGAGCGGCGGGCAAGCGAGACGTGTCGCGTGGGCGTGTCCCTGCTTCTGCTGGGACGACACGGGCCATACCCAGCAGGCGCTCCGCTCCATATACCGTGCCTCCAGCGGTAGTCACGCGACACTTGAATGCTTAGGGTGTCTCTGTCTCAAGTCTCTACAACCAAGAATGCCCTCTCCAATACGCGAAATCTCGAGTCTGTCCCCTGAAGCCAAAATATCAAATCAATCAAGAATTGAAGCCAAGAATCTTGAATTTGAATGCGCAACCGCCAATCTTGAATCCCACTCTCGAACACAACGGTCACGTGGTATGATTGTTGGTTCTTTTCCGTAATCTCGGCCGAAAACGGCGCGCTAGGCATGCTTTATTTCTAATGAGACTAACGATTCAGATTTGGGCCTGTGTCGGCGGTGATATTGCGGACTGAAGGTTCTATGGCGACTCACGACTCATGCACGTCGGCTATGAGCTTACCATGATGGATGTCGAGCATGCAAGCACGATCCACCAGATTCACTACTGATTCGATCGACGTTGTCTTAGCGCGCGCGTGCGCGTGCGCGTGCGCTCATCGCCCGTTCTTCTCGCTCCTTCAAGATTCGTGATTATGATTCGTGTGATTCACGATTCAGATTGTGATTGCAATTCGAGGTTCACTTGTTATTGATTGCTGTTATTCGGGATATTCGTGCTTTGCACGCCGAACAGACGCACAATAAGTAGCGCGACGGCAATTGCATGGTGCCAAAGCGCTGCTTCTCTCTACTCGACTTCCACCATCCTCCTCCCATCTCATTCTCATCATCACACGCACACTCTTTCAGCATGGCGCAGGGAGATACGTCCGGTCTGCGCGCTCGAGCAGACGAGTTGCGCAAAGCGAACGCGCAAAGAGCAGCGCAGCAAGAGCTGCAAAACGGTACGAATGGGGCAAGCAGCAGTTCCACGGGTGCGCCATCGGCTGCCCAGGTAGCAGCTGCAAAGGAAGCGCACGACAAGATCGTCAAGGCGCAAAACACTCATTTCGAGCATGGATATAGAAAAGTGGACACGAGGGATGATCAGATCATTGGAGGTGGAAAAGAGAGAGCATTGACGCATTACAATCCGGGAATCGTCATCACCGAAAAGGGACGCGAGACGGACAAGCGCGTAGACACTCACGAGTCGTGAGTTGCGCAAGCAGGGCTGCTTCTTGAGCATGAGCTGCGCGGAGCTGACGATGAGCGCTACGCACGCTGCCCACAGATGGGAATTTGGCGGTCCCATCGGAACGGCGTTCATGATGGTCTTCTTTCCCAACATGATGTACTACCTCTGGATCTGTCTTTGGTTCTATGACGGCAGGCTCGTCATTCCAAACGGTGTGGATGACATCGTCCCCTTCTTGCAACGCATGGCTCAACACGTCTACGAGGTGAGCGCCGTCGATGCGTGCATTGCATGTGCCTCTCAGTGCGAGCCGCTGACTTACTCATGCTCTCTCGCGCAGGACGCCTTTCCTACTCCTCGCGCCATCATTGGCTACGGCGGTCTGATGGTGTTCGAGTTCGCGCTCGCTTGGGTGATGCCCGGATGGATGCAAGAAGGTCTGCCTGTGCCATCTCTGAACTACAAGACGCTCATGTACAAGTGCAACGCCCTCTCATCCTTTTACGCCACGCTTATCGTATCCGCCGTTTTGCACGTCACTGGCATCTACAGGCTCACCGAGATCATCGAGCATTTTGGAGAGTACATGACCGTCGCCATGATCTCCGGCTTTCTGCTCGCCATCGCCATTTACCTCCACGCAGTCCTGACCGGCACGGCGCAGCGCATGAGCGGTAACCTTCTTTACGACTATTTCATGGGCGCCGCCCTCAACCCCCGCATTGGTCCCGTCGACCTCAAGATGTGGGCCGAAGTGCGCATCCCTTGGGTGCTGCTCTTCCTCATCAGCGTCAGCGGAGCTTGCAAGCAGTACGAAACATACGGATATGTCACCCCCAACATGGCATTCATGGTCCTCGCGACTGGGCTCTACATCAACGCTTGCGCAAAGGGCGAAGAGTGCATTCCTCAAACTTGGGATATGTTTCACGAAAAGTTTGGTTGGCTTTTAATCTTTTGGAACTTCGCCGGCGTGCCGTTCACCTACAGCTACTCGTGCGTCTACATTGCCACGCATCCTCCTCACGTGTACAAATTTAGCACGCTTGGCTACGTCGCACTCTACACGACGCTCCTCACGGCATATTGGATCTTTGACTCTTCCATGGCTCAAAAGTCTCGCTTCCGCATGCAGCTCCAAGGAACCTTTGTCGTGCGCTGGACTTTCCCACAAATGCCTTGGTCCACACTCAAGGACCCGCGATACTTACAGACCGAGCACGGCAATGCACTGCTCGTCGATGGGTGGTGGCAATTTGCCCGCAAGATCAACTACTCGGCAGATTGGATCCAGGCCACCACGTGGTGCGTCGCTGCTGGATTCGGCTCCATCATTCCTTATTACTACTCGATCTTTTTCTTTGCCGTGCTCACGCATCGTTGCGGACGTGACTTTGAGCGGTGCGAACGCAAGTACGGCAAGGATTGGGAAAAGTACTGCAAGATCATTCCTTATAGGTGAGTGTGCCGGCCGGCGTCGACATGCGATCGTGCTGCTAATCTGCCTAGACCCGCGTCCGCTGCAGATTCATTCCCTACGTCTATTAGGCGGTCCCTCGCAAGAATTGCGGCTCATATCTGAAAGGCTGCGTCTCTCAAAGTTCTGTCAGCACTTCTCTCTCTCCATCTCTGCGTTCTGCCGCTGAAAAGAACAGGGTTGCGGATGCGTACCTTTGCGCTCAAACTTAAAACCTCTTACGTCAGGTGCATGCCTGTTCCCTTGGGACAAAGAGCGCATCGCCCAAATTAATCATTACCAATCATTCTCGTTGTCCTTGCGCCCCCTGAGTGCCGCCATCTAGGTTTGTGCGGATGTCACTCATAGCAGGAGGACCGCCTGGTCAGTCCTGCGATCGCGTGTTGCGCTACGCAGAGCTCTTTACTGCCACGACTGGCTTGCTCTTTGCGGCACCCTCTGCTTATTTCGCTGGATTGCAGGATTTGCACGTTGGTCTACATCATGCCCGACCAGATAACTCGGTTGGTTGAGCTAGTGGGCAGCGCGCGTCTATGTTTGCGCTTGCCGATGCGATGACGATGGCGGTGGACCGATGGATCAGAGAGACCTAAGCTTTGGAACGAAATGTGAATGACTCGCGGTCTCATCTTGAGGCAACCTCCTCGTACTGTCTGCATGGCTCTTCGTACGGGCTCAGACGGACGTCTAGCCGGAAAAGCAAGCATGCCTCACCTGCCGGCTTCTCGTAAGGCACTCGTGGACGACGAAGCCGCTTCAATTCCTTCAGACACCAGCTCAGAATTGGTCACTGTGATTTTGGGGATATCGCGAAAATGCTCATTCGTCGAGTGCCAAAGTTGGTCATTATGGTTCACCAACTCGGCTCCGATGCAACCAGGCACCCGTATCCTCATTTCGGTCCCATCTTTATCACTCTGATCGACCTTGGATCGTCAGGAAGGGACGTTTTAAGCACCGAGGGTACGACGGCGTCATCTGTTGCCGTTGGAGAGGGACGCATCGCGAGTGACGGCAGAGAAGGGTAGATAGGCAGCTCGCTGCGATAGAGCCTCTGCACCAATGCTACGCTAGGTCGCTGCGACCTTACCGAAACGAGTAGTGGTGTAGCGTAACGCAGGTAGCGAATGGAGTACGTTGCGCAGTCAACGCTCAGCCGTGTTCAATTCTCAAATCAGTCTGCGCGGCGACGGAGGTGCACTTACCGCCGCCGTCACCGCGCAGCTGCCCATGTAGTTGCCTTGAAACTTCAGTGAGCCATTGCTGTGCCACATTGAAGGAATCAAAGAAGGAATGCTAATGTCTGCGTACAGTAGCATATCGAAGGCTGCGTGTCCTTTCCCGACGCACTTCGATGCCGATTTGCTCGTCGTTGAAGCCGCATCTGTCAATCTGTGGCTCTGCGCGAGGCCCGCGGGTAGTGGCTGCAGCCTTCTGTGCCCACTTGTATTGCTTCTCTCTCTCTTCATTGAGAGACTGGACCATTCAGTTTGAGCAGTCGGTGTTTGTACGTGTTCGGTTGCATGCACCCTTGGGAGACCAGTCCGTCGATGGTATATAAGCAGAGTTCTGCCCAAGCACACCGTACATCCTCCCACATCCCTTCACCCACCCTCTCTCTCTCTCCCCTTCCCCCCTCAGCACGATGCGTTTGACCACTTTGTCCACGCTTATCGCGCTGCCTACTCTGGCTCTGCACGTCACGGCTTCTCACCAAGGATACAAAAGTCAAAGCCTGAATGCGCGTCACTTGCTCCGTACTCGCGATCAACCCACAGTGACGCCGGACTATGAGCGTTTTGCGGACCCCGAAACAGCCAAACATAGTCTCATCTTTGGCGGAGACGACAATGTAAGCCAAGAGGTCAAGGGTGAGTGGCATGCCGCCCAGTCCGCGTCCGACGACTGCTCACATGCTGTACTCTGCAAAGGCAAAGGTGGCAATGGCGAGCCCAAGAAAAGCTTGAGTCTGCAGAGCGCAGACGACGGCACACATACCGATACCCAGCCCGAAGAGAAGCCCGCCGCTTCGAAAGGCAAGTTGCCTCCCATGGCAAAGCTACCCGAGAAGATCTTTGGCGTCAACCTCGGAGCTTGGTGAGCCAGTACGCTTCGTTGTCGCCAGGCAGAAGTCGCACTAATTCGGGTTGTCTTCCACGTTGCAGGTTCGTTCTCGAAAATTGGCAGGGCAACTCGATTTTCCTCACGCCCGACCTCGTCGATCAGACACTGACAGACGAGTATTCTTGGAGCATCGCTGTTGGAAAGGAAGAGGGTGCAAAGCGTCTGAAGGAGTGGTACGCCACGCGGTACACGGAGGACGACTTTAAGCAAATCAAAGCTGCCGGATTGAACATGGTCCGTATTCCTGTCAGCCACTACATGCTCAACGCCTCCAACACGGAGCCATACATCGGAGGCATCCAGCTGCCATTCCTGAAGCAGGGCCTCAAGTGGGCCCAGAAGTACAATCTTTCCGTCATGATCGACCTCCATACTACTCCAGGAAGTCAGAATGGGGTAAGTCTTTCTCGGCACGGAGAAGTCGGCGAGCCGAATCGCCTTCACTCACGCAAGCCATGCCACGACTTGACCTGTTAGTACGACAATAGCGGCAAAGGATCCAACGGCAACCTCGGCCAGCCAATCATAGAGTGGCACCGCAACTCGACCAACTTTTTGCGCACCTTGTCTGCTCTCAAAACCTTGACGGAAGAGGTGGTGAACACGAAAGAGTTTGGCGGCATTGTCAAGGCGATCGAGGTGATGAACGAGCCTCACACTGGTACGTCATGGGTCATGACCTGTCAGACTGCGCGCACGCTGACGGTTCACCTTGACAATAGGCAAGGACGCCATCCCCATCTCTCTGTTGGCTTTGTTCTTTAGCGAGTCGTACAATGCCATTCGTGCGACGGTCAACTCATCAGCGCCAGTCACGCCCTATGTCGTCTTCAACATCTTCCAAAGCCCCGTGGATCCCAACGAGCCTGGAGGTCTGAGTTGGGACGGGGAGTCTGGCTGGAACACTTTTTTCCTTTCCGACGCTTTCCAGAATGGCACCTTCTTCCTCGACACCCATCAGTACCAGGCTTGGGACGGTCTTCTGCTCCACGACGACCACATTGCGCGTGCTTGCAACAAGACGGCTTCCCTTGAAGCGCAGAACGCCAAGATCCCGACGCTCGTGGGGGAGTATAGCTTGGGCATCACCGTCCGATGCGTCAATCCCACTGTCCCCTCTTACCACAGCTGCCAAGGTCTCACCATCAAAGATGATCTCAAAACACTATCAGCTCCAGAGCAAGTCCTTTTTGCCAAGAGATTCTACGAGGCTCAGCGAGTCGCCTATGGAAAGACCATGGGTATGATCATGTGGAACTGGAAGACCGATTCTGCTGCTGCTTGGTCCTACCAAGCATCCCTCGATGCTGGATGGATCACGAAGAATCCCACCGACGTGCGCTTCAAGGTCTTGCCTGCCGGATCGCCTCCACTCTTCCAGTGTGTTGCGCACGATGATCTGACCACGAAGACAGTCGTTGAGAACAAGGACGACATGGAAGGCATGTAGTGAGTTGGATGTGTCAGTCGCATGAGGTCTTTAGGATGCTCAATGCCCGCACTCTTGCACGCAGTGTCGACGACCCTCGGTCGAAGCAAATTGCGGCGAACATGGCTCCAGCTCTGCAGCAGTACCTGGCGGAAGGAACACTGCCTCCTGAGATTCAGAAATATGGAGCGCAGTACTCGAACGAGGTGGGCAGACTGCTGAGAGCGGCTCTGCCTTTCGTTCCTTCGGACAAGCAAGTCGTCGACCCGGGACCGCCGCCTCCGCCTGCTCGTCGTTCAATCTTAGCGAAAGACACGGCTGGCTTCGCACGCCGTCGTGCGTGATCGGCTTGATCCGGAAGCAAGCCTCACTCAGCCCCTCGCCGTCATCCAACCCTTCCAATCATCCCTACTCCTGGCGGTCGCCGCCGACAGCGACGCTTCCTGGGCAGAGGTGCCTGCGCCCATCCCAATCATCTGAAAATATTGACAGCGACTCGGCCGTGATGCTCTTGTGGCAGGATCTCGGAGGAATGGGTGGATGGTGGCGGTTGTGCAGGGGGCGCGTTCTACATTCACGCATCTCGATTGACAAGCCCATTTGAATGCAACAGGTACATGCGCAGTCGCATACGCGCACGCAGCCCTGCATCACGATTCACGTGATCCATACCGCGCTTGAATTCCTTTCCCCTTCGCTCAGAAGTTCATCAATCACAATGCCAATCGAACTACTCTCTCTTCTGAATCATACTCACAATGATTCAATCCAATCATTTGATCTGTTCTTACATTTGCGAAGATTCGCCTTCTGTGACAGGGAGCGCCCGACGTAATGGCTTGCGAGCGTACCAGCTTACTACTTCACATGCTCGAGTTTTGACGTCCGACTGCGGCGAAACTGCGATCACATTGCTACAACAGTCGAAATGACCTTTTGCGCGACTAGCCAGGCAAGGGAAATGCGGCGGATGATAAATTCAGGATGGAGGATGCGGTATCGTGATTAGGTGTGGTCGGGTGAGTCGTACTTCATGGTGCGCACACGAGTGGGCGCTGCGCAAACGACTAAAAGACAAGGGTCGTTAGAGCTCGTTCAGAAAGCGAAAGAATGGATAAGGGAGATGTGTATGCGAAGAGCTTGCTTAGTAAGACCACTTGGGATTCTCTGGGTCGGTAAAGTCAAAGACGGTGCTGGAGTGAGGACGAGCACCACCGCGGTCAGGGAAACGGCCAGCAAAGTCGATGGTACGGTTGAAGCTCAATCCGCCGTTGGGGAGAATGTCGATGACGTGAGAGAAGTAGTTTCCTGGTGTGTTGAGGATACCAATGTCGCCGGTGCGGACAAAGTAGTCGGTGACGGTCAGCGTCTTTTGGTCTGGGGACAGAGACAAGAAGTGAGGTCCGAGAACGGGAACGCCACCAGCTGACTTCTGTTGCTCGTCGGGGTTGTCCAGACGCTTAATGTTCTTCAAGTCGCTGATGTCCAAGGCAAAGATGTGGTTGCCGGTGGTGATGGAGCCGTACAGGAACTTGCCGTCGTTGGAAACAGCAGTGTAGATGGCAGTGCTGTCACGAGCGCGGGGGCCGAGGTCGAAGAGGAGCTCGGCGGTGCCCTGCTTGCCGTTGGCATCCTTACGGTTGGGGTAGATGATCCAGATCTGACCGAGGTGGACAGCAGTGGCAATAGCTGCACCATCGGGGTTGTTGGGGATGAACTTGACGTCCTGAATTCCACCACCGCGGGGGATCGTGATGGTGTTGACGATCTCACGGTTGTGGAGGGTCCAGAGACGAAGCGTGTTGGCACGCTGGATACCAGTGGAAGGCTTGAGGACGGAGAGGGGAACGACGTAGTCGGACGTCAGGATCCAGTTGTTCTTCCAGTCGATGGACAGACCATGAGGGCTGAATTGCTGAGTAAGAGCGTTGATGGAGTCAAGAGATTGAGGCCATTGACCGATGATGTCAAAGTCGGCGTTGGTCTCGACGAGACGACCTGGGGAGGTACCGGCGGCGGAACCCATGTAGGTGATGAAGAAACCACCGTCGGGCTTGGCACGGATCTCATCGGTGATTGATGCCAGCAAAGCTCTGTTGCTCTGAAGGATAAGCGGAGAGTAAAAGGGCATTCTGTCAGCTCAAACTCCTAGCACAGCCGCCCTCGTTCGCCATCACGAGCGTCGAATCGAAGCGACTCTCACCTTCTTGAACTTGGGTGCGTATGGGTCGGAAATGTCAAAGTAGAAGGCGGTGTCTTGAGTCTTGAGTAAAGAGAGCAGACCACCACCGACGAGGGTCTTGCCATCGGCACTCGCACCAATGTGGTGAGGCTCGTTACCAGAGGTGGGAACCTCGGCAATGTTGACGAATTGACCGAAAGTGTCATCGTCATGAGACACGACAGCGAGGAAGTCTTTGTGCTTCCTGTCCTCAGCACCAGTCCAGTAGTAGCCGACCTTCTTTGGCTTGATGCTGAGCTGCTTGAATGGCGGCGAGCTCAAGGCAGGGGTGGGCGCCTGGAGGATGGGGAGTGGTCCCAGAATATTTTGCAGGATCGAAGTGATGTTGTCGTTGATGCCAGGAATCAGAGAGTCAGGAATGGAGAGCTGACGCTTTTCAAAGGCAACCTCGCGGGTCGTTGGCACAGCCAAAGTCATTGCGGCCGAGACCATGGCGCCAAGGGCAACGAATTGAGAACGCATCTTGGATGTATGAGTGAGGAGGGGTGAGGGGAAGAGAGAGTGGGGAAGGGCAGAGGAGAGAATGGCGATGCTGAGTGAGGAAATAGGATCAGACCTTCAAGGTTGGACTGCTCGACTTATGAACGCTTTGCTGGTTGCGCGAGTTCACCGTGTAACGCTCGACGGTCGTTTCCTCAAGCGAAATTTGCTCAAGACGAGTCTTGGCGTCAGCAGCGAGCAAAAACGACTCCAACGAACGAGTCGATCCGAGCAAAATACGCTCAATGAGCAATAACTGCGCGGTAAGAGCCAATGGCGCCATTCAGGTCGCCATTCTCGCACCGTGGATGCTCGGACACCTCTTGCGGCGGATAAGTGCGATCTGACGACGGTCCAGGGTGGCAACGTTCAGTACGTTATTCCTTCCCATGTCTCGCGAAGGCGACGCTAGTCATTCGCAGTCATTCACCGACCTCAGCACGCCATGCCGAACCAATTTTGGCATTGCAGGTCGTTCGCAAGGGTCGATGAGCGATGTCCACCTTGATAATCGGTGGTCCCTGACCCTAATTGAGCGAAGAAAGCGCTGTTGTTGTCCCGAATCACGCTTGTTCTTGGCGGCATTGTCTTAGCGCCTTTTAGCGTACTATCCTGTGATGCAGCAGTCAAGAACATTGTCGAAAAGAATGTTGGCAGCTTTTGGATGTCAAAAGGCTGTGGCCCATGGTGCTCGCGAGGCCCGCAGAGAGAGCGATGTTCTGTTGGTGACGACCATGCGCTTTGACGATGCTTGCTGCGGACGCGTCGCAAAAGCGCGCTAGTGTAAGTCGCATTGCGCGCAGCGATGGCGTTATAAGTCCGCTTTCGGATATTCATCATCAGCCAGCTCTTGGCCTTTTGGAGGCCACTTGAGCTCGCCCATCAGCTGTGTGCGCGATTTTTGCCTCCCACAGACTGCTTCACCCCGCACATCTAGCAGCTTGAGAAATATTCCACGAACGCTAATGGGTCCCCCTGCATGCGTTCATCTGATCAACCTTGCTGTGGTAGATCAATTCGCTCCAACTCGCCCGGGTCTGCGAGCTGAGTCACAGACCGTCGTGGCCTCAGAGCCAGCTCGCTGCCTGCAGGCACCCGAAGCGGTCAAACAAAGCGGTACAGAGTTAGCCCAGCTAAGTTTGATAGCCGACGTCCACATCACGCTTCTTTCCGCGCTAGAGAGATGTCACCATTCCTTGGCAATGGGCGCAAGGTCCATCGGTCAGTTCCGTTGGACACCACCACACGGGGAGCAAAAAGCACGCAAAGGTGCTTTCTTTCTCCTCGAGGATACCTTACGAGCGGGCGGTTCAGCTGACCCATCGCAGACTCCTTGTAAATCTGATGGAGCTAGTGAGCACTCACCGCGTGTGCGACCGGTCGCTAGCAGGTAGCCTGGTGCACCACCTCCTTCTGGAATCCAACGCTGCATGCAACTCACTTTCATGGGTTGCTTCTGGTCTTCCTTGTAGCCAGGCGCCAGCAAAGAGCCCGAAGGTCGTCATCGGGGCCGGTGATGTCGTCAAACCCACTCCCAGATGGTGAAAGGTGCTTCTCGTGAGGCAATGATCGTAAGCATACCTCGCCGAGCCCTAGTGGTCCAGTGTACGTCTACTACCTGCGCCCTTTTTGCTCGTGCTACTCGCAGACACTTGGTTTCAGTGAGCAAAAGTAGCGCGGTTGTGTCCGTCCGTTGCAAGATACCAAGCGCCCTTGCCACCGGTATCCAAAAATCATTGAAAAGGAAACTGCCAGCAGAACTCCATCTCTTGTCTCTGTTCCATACTCTCCTCCTCAACTCTTTCCCTCCCACGCAGCCTTCCTTAACCGCTCCATACCCTCTCACAATGCGTTTCACTTTCACAAAGCTTGCTGCCATCGTCCTCGTGGCTGGCTCCGCGGTCACCATGTCCGCTAACGGAAACCCTCTTCCTCAACAGGACGTGAGTGTTGCCGCCTGCGCCAAGAGTGTTGATGCGCTGTCAAAGAATTGAAGCTGATGCCAAAGTGCTTTCTGAACGTCAGTACGGAGGTGTTACCCACACTCCCGACCTTGAGGGACTCAACAAGCTCCTCGAAGTCCTCCAAGGATCTGTCGAGAAGCTTACTCAGGCCTTGAGCGGACGTCAACGCCGCGCAGACCTGCCAGGCGGTGACTCTGACCAGAGCGGCGGCCCTCAAGACCCTCCCGAGCTCAACCTGCAGGACACTATCCTCAGCGTGAGTCATTTGGGGAAGTCCATAGCGAAGAAGAATCACCACTAATACACGTTGCTATGCCCGCCTGCAGATCGTCCCTGAGCTGCTACCCCTCCTCAAGTCTCTTGGCCTCAACGTCGGAAACCACTAGTCGCATTGACTGTGTGTGGCAGCTGTTTCCGTAGCATACCTAATTCCTAGCCATGAGACTTGTGTGCTCGAGCCTCTTCGCATTCCCACCTCTTGCGGCTCGCTGCAATTCATGAGCCTTTTGACCACAAATTCGCTGCCTCCTTGTGGTGCTTTGCCTTATGCAACCATCGTGAATGTATCCTTGCTCTGCAGCCTGAATGCCGCGGGACTTCGTTCGTCGAGGCGGACACACCGTTCCGCCTCCTTCTGCGGGCAGTCCTCTTGTTGGATGAGCGAGCAATTGCGTTCACCAGCCGTCGTTTGCTAGACACACTTCGCTACGGCCGCTCAAGCACAGCTTGATGGGACGATCCGATTGCAACGCGCCAGGAATTGGCGGATCATGGCTTGGACCGGCCGCTACGTTGCGAGCAGGGCCGTGCTCTTTCCAGCCGACGAGGGACAGAGCGACCATGCCCGCATTCACCGCATCAGGTGTGAAGGTGGTAATGGATGGTCGCACCGGGATTCCTAGATTTTGCCAAGACTCCTGGTCGTCTCGAGAGAAGATCAATCTAGACAGCTACAGCCAGGGCAAAGCGCAGACTGAGCAGAGCGCGCAAAGCTGACGGGGTGAATCCGAATGGTGGTTGGTGGGTCGGTGCGGGTATCGCCATAGCACGCGTCGATGGCGCCTTGTCGGCTAGGAGCGCGCCCAATCGCATCGCTTGATCAGCTTTGATCACAGATCTCCAGCTGATTGATTGCCCACGCGCAGCATGACAACAGGCGGGGAGAGCGCATGCACGATGTACAGTATGCAGCAGGGCTCGTATGTTTGCGCTAGTCCACGCGCCAAGAAAGCTGCTGGTCAGAAGCAACTGCAATTAAGCAGCTGCTCGAGCTCGCGCTTGCACACATGTTCCAACCTAACATTTCTTGTGCGCATTGCACCATGCATGCCCGCAAATAGCCTCAATGTCCTCACCATGAGAGGCATCTGGCCAGACCTCGCGCGCTGACTATGATCAAGTCAAGAGTGTCAGCGGAGAAAAGGCGGTTTGAAGCGGAGCTCATTTTTCGAGCCGTGCTCACGACGCGCCTGCTCCAAATTGATCCGCACAAACACAGACGACTCCGCCTTCCCGCCGGCTGATGCCGCAGAGTGCCCGCAAATGCGGCACTGAACCGTTAGTGTGAGTGCCGATTGGTCTGGTTGGCGAGAATACCTTCAGCAGCAAAGCAGATGTGGACTTGACAAGCTGATCGAATAATCACTGTGAATGTCGACATTCGTGATTGTGATTGTAGTCAGAGCCGTTTGCGCGCATATTGCCCAGTCGATTCGGCTGATTTGCACGCTTCCTGCTGCGCTGCTTGCGCGTGAGCATTATCGACGGAAGGCGACGCTGACGCAATCGCAAGCCTAGGGCACCACAAGCAGATGGTGAACGAATACCTTGGGCCAACGTGCAGAGTGTTTGCGCACGACGGTGAGAGGCACTCAGGTTGACCGACCTCGCATATCCCACGGTTGCAATGTGGCGGTCGATAGAATGTAAGCGTGGCGACACTGGTGCGCTACACAGCACTCTTGCGTCCGCCGTCAAAAGTGATCTGTCAGATCGCTGAACCAGCTATCCTCCCCACAAC